TGCACTCCAGTCTGGGCGACAGAGTGAGACTCCAACTCAAAAAAAAAAAAAAAACCCAGAGAGAAAGGCAGGGGCCATGTCACCAGGGCCTGTTAAGCCATTGCGGGAATTTAAGTTTTGTTCTGGCTGAATGGCAAAGTGCTCTGTGGAAGACAGACGGGGGGAAGCAAGGGAAGGATCTGAAGGCTCAAATTCAGAAATAGGACGATGTTGGCTTAGACTAGGTTTGCAATACTAGAAATGGGGAAAAAAACAGAAGGACTTGAAGTATATTTTGGTGGCAAACTCTATAGAGCTAGACAGCCTGGAATTTGGGATGGTTGAGAAAAAGAGGACTTGTAAGTTTTTGGCTTGAGTTAATGGTAGCACCGTCTATGAACATGGGCAAGATGAGAAGAGGAACAGGCTTTCGGGTAGGATGCAGTGGTCCTGTCTGGGTTGGTAAAGCTCAAGATGCCTCTCAGACATTCCAGGTAGAGATGTTAGGTAGGCAGGTGGCATTCAGGAGAGAGGTCCTGAGAGAATTAGAATTGCTCATCTTCGACCAGGAATGGTGGCTCATGCCTGTAATCCCAACACTTTGGGAGGCCGAAGCGGGAGGATCGCTTGAGGCCAGGAGTTTGAGACCAATCTGGCAACATACTGAGTCCTTGTCTCTACAAAAAGTTAAAAATAAAAATTAGTCGGACGTAGTGGCATGCACCTGTAGTCCCATCTACTCAAGAGACTGAGGCAGAAGAATGGTTTGAGCCCAGGAGGTCTAGGCTGTAGTGATTATGATTATGATTATGAATATGCTTATGATCCTGTGACTGCACTCCAGCCTGGGTGACAGAGTGAGATCCTGACTCAAATAAAAAAAAAAAGAATTTCTGGCCTTCAAAAACTTAGATCAGAACTCACTTGGAGGCTCCCCATCGATTAGTAACTTGATCCCTCAGTGTCACCCTTCTGTGTTTACACAGTCAGTTGGTACCACACTGAGAAGGCTTTCTGGGTGTTTTGCTTTGTGAGGGTCTGTTCTTTCCCTCCCTTGTCTGTAGCCTCCTCAAGGAGAGGGCCTATGTGTCTTGGCTTTCATTGCTGCTTCTCCCTCACAGCTAAGTACAGAGTAGTGCTCTGTACCCAGCCTGTGCTCAGTGAATGCTTTTCTGTTCTGGAGTGATGGGACAGAGACTCTGAGAGCAGATGTTGTTACTGTGCAGACTCAAGTCTCCACAATCAGAGCAGGCCATATAGTGGAGGAGTTGGCTGGTGTGAGCAGGACGCCAAGCAGGAGCTCATGCCTGTCTGTCCCCTCCCTGCCTTACCTGGACACCTCCCCTGGCCTATAGGCCTGATCCTGATCGTCCCACCCTGGGTCACCCTTCTCTGGAATTTCCCTTCACAGAAGCCTCAGTGTAAACTCTGCCGATCATGCCCTGTGGTGAAGTCCTCTCGGCACCTGTTCCTGGACCTGCCTAAGGTAAGTGGACCGTTCCTTAAATCTGGTTTTCAGGAGACCTCTTCTGCCCCTCTGCCTCAGCCACAAATATTGATAGCATATCACTCTTATGTCCATGAAAAATTAAACATCCTAGCTGGGCACGGTGGCTCACATCTGTAATCCCAATACTTTGGGAGGCAGAGGCGAGAGGATTGTCTGGGTCCTGGGGTTCGAGACCATCTTGGGCAACTTGGCAATACCTGTCTCTACGGTAAATCAGAAAATTAGCTGGGCGTGGCAGTGCATGTCTGTGGAAGGCTGAGGTGGAAGGATCACCTAAGCCCAGCAGATCTAGGCAGTGGTGGCTGTGAACATACCACTGCACTGTAGCCTGGGAGACAAAGTGAGACCCCTACTCAAAAAACAAAAATTATACATGCTATTGTAAAGAGAAGAAACAAATGTAAGGGCACAAAACAAAAACCTCAGACCCACTTGCCAGAGGTATTTACTACTCATTTCCCTAGTGTCTTATGCGGCACGGTGTAGTGACTCATACCTGTAATCCCAGCACTTTGGGACGTGGAGGTGAAGGAACTGCCTGAGCCCAGGGGTTTGAGACCAGCCTGGGCAACTTGGCAAGACCTAGTCTTTACAATAAATACAAAAATTAGCAAGGCATGGTGGTGCACCCCTGCAGTTCCAGCTACTTGGAAGGCTGAGGCGGAAGGACTGCCTGAGCCCAGGAGGTCAAGGCTGTGGTAGCTGTGAGCCTGCCACTGCACTCCAGCAACAGTGACTCAAACAAACTCCAGGTCAAATAAACAAACAAAAACCAAAATTAACCAGGCATGGTGGCGTATACCTGTAGTCCCAGTTATTCAGGATGCTGAAGTGGAAGGATTGCCTGAGACCAGGATGTTGATCACGTGAGCCATGATCTTTGTCGAGGCTACGGTGGCCGGGAGCGTGCCACTGCACTCCAGTCTGGTCGATCGAGTGAGACTCCAAATCTTTAAGGAGGAGAAAGAAAAAGTTAGTTCAGTTTTCAAATTGCTTCTTCCCTCCTGGTACGTGGTATCGGGCATTTCTTGAGGTGTCGTGTGGCATAAGATTCACCGAGAAGTGTTCTCGATTTACTTCAGGATGTTCAAATTGTGGTTTTCATCAACCGCGATCTTCACATGCATGTGTTTGCTCACCACTTTGCCTCTAATGAGGCACTCCCATCTCTGCAACTATGTCCCCCCAGGAATGGCTGGAAACACTCCCTGGCTCTCTGTTCCTTCTGGA